AAAAAAAAAAAAAAAAAGAGAAAAAAAAGCAAAAAAAAACTCGTCCACTCGTGCGCCTTCCTAGGACTTAGCCTTACGAATCTACTATTTACACTGCGCCGTTGTTGCTCTTTTCTCTCACGGTTTCTTCAATGCCGAATTGTTATACGCGCTTCGCTTTTTCTCCTTTCTGTTCTCCTTCTTCCTTCCTCTCGCTCACGCACACGCACGCATCTCACACGCTCTCCCATCTCATCATGCCTCTCCTCTCCATCTCTCTGCAAACGCGTTCCTCTCACGCGTTTATGCGTTTTCATTCCCGCGCGCGTATTCGTTTGCCTACGCATTTCACTCGATCCATCTCTGTCTTGTAACGACACGCGACTCCACGCGCGAACGCGCTTCGTCGCGCGCCTTTTTCTACTTTTCTCCGTATTCTGTTCCCATTTTCTCGTTCTTCCCTGTTTCTTCGTCGTCTTTCCGACAGCGAAACGACGAACCTGTGGTCACTGGCGTTCACGCGCGTTTCTCGCCAGTTGCTCTTTCGCGAAGCAGGAGAAACAACTCGACGCGAGCGGGTAATTTTGTGGGTAGGATTAGAAGCGAGACAGAGGTGGTTGTATTGAAAACTCGTTTATTGAATGGAGACGGGAGACACGAGATGTTTATCGGCTTACAAAGGTACTACGCATTCGGCTGATTGCAAACTCTGGCGGCCGCGGCGGGCCTGGTTCAGTCTCATATACACATGTTCCCGACGAAATATCGTCCCTTTTTTTTTTTTCTTTTTTCAATCATCTTTTACTTTTTAAAATCGTTTCGAATCGCGCGCCTTTCTCCGGCTGCGAGGACGCAGCCGACCAATCTAAGAAAAAAAAAACTGTCTGTTTTTTACCTTCTTTCCTGCCTTGATGGTTGCTGCTTCCATCGTTCCTTCTTCTATTACGTGTATACATTTTTTTTTTTTTTTAATCCGCGTCATCGTATTTTTATCATCGGTATTTTTGTTATACTTTTGTTGCGATTTTTGCCCCGACTCACTTGCACAAGCACGCTCACGTTCCATTCGTTCATTTGTGTTCCTCTTATATTCTTTCCTCTCTCTCTCTCTCTCTCTCTCTCTTTCTAAATGTACGTTTGTTCCTGGTCGATTCCATGCATACACACTCTTTCTCTCTCTCTCTCTCTCTCTCTTGCTCTCTATGATTTTTTTCTCTTTCTTACTATCGTTCCTCTCACACTCGTACGCTCGTCTTTTTTTTTTTTGTTGTTTTCTTTCCCTACGCGCACAATACACAAGATGATAACGTTTCTGTTTTTTTACGATTATTATACCTTACACATGTTACAATAATATTAATTACTTTTAATAATATTCAATAATTATAGTAGAGTAGATGATCGATGAATGAGGTGGAGTACTGTACAGGATGCGCGATTTCCATGATTATCACATGTAAGATAGATTACTCAATTTTTTTTTTTTTTCTGTAACATTCAATCCTCCTCTCCTCTTCGTCCGCTTCTCTTCCTCACCATTACTGTTCTCCCACCCCCCCTTCCTGTTTTGTTCTCCACAGAAGGGCGGAGGAGGGGGGGGGGGCAGGGCATCGACACGCTATCGTCGAAGATCATCTTGATCAGATAGCCTCTCGTCCTTGTTCCTGCCGTTGTTGTTCTCGCAGTTTTCGTCGATAAAGTGGTAAAGGTGTAGGTAGATGGGTAGGTAAGCTTCCGTTTTTATTATTATTTTTCTTTTTTTTTTTTTTCTTTTTTTTCGTTAGGTATTACAGGTGAATCCCAAAGAAGCACGCTTTTACTCTCCGTGTGTGTTTCCCCTGGTTGCCGGATGCGCGCATCTCGAGGCATCACTCTCCCGAGAATGCGCTCCGTGACTCGATCGATCAATCGTCCACGGTCCACGGTATTAAAATCGCGACACGTTTTTTTTTTTTTTTCTGTTTTCCCCGGAGAGCGGAGAAACAAACCAAAACAGATAGCAGTCCTCCCATGCACTCTGCACTCCCAAAAATTCGTTCTCCGTTCTGTCCTCATCTGTCGCGCCCGACACGCATCGCAACGTTACATACATGCGTATTGTTGCGTATATTATCAACCAAATGTCCGCGTAAACAGGGGAGGGGGGGGTGGCGGAAACACGAACCTGGTTCCCGCCATTTGGCCACCTGGTCGTGCCATTACTCTCCCTTGTCGCGTGTCGTCGCGCAGTTTGTTCTTCCTTCCGTCCTTCCCGTTGAAAATCGATAGTTTAATAGTTTAAATTAATAAATTATTTGGTTTATCACGCGCTGCTGAGCGTCCTGGCACTTTTGCATGGTTCGTGTCTCGGGAGGGGAGCGACGCGTGGAGCATGCGCGCCACACTAACTATACATCACCGTTGTTGTACCAAATGAACAAAAAAAAAAAAAAAAAAAAAAAAAAAAAAAAAAGAAAAAAAA